GCTTACAAACACAAAATAGATGAAGGGTGAACCCGTGGTTAACTATATCAGCCGTTGGCGAGCTCTAAGTCTTGACTGCAAGGAGCGTTTGTTTAAAATTTTTGCAGTTGAAGCATGTATGCAAGGCATGCACTGGAAGCTTCTTTACATCCTACAAAGGGATTAAGCCTCGCACATTTGAAGAGCTTGTTACTCAAGCCCACGACATGGAGCTTAGCATGGAAAATCATGGTCCCAGAGAAGATGTTCCTGATATATCCGACAACCTTCAAGAAGATGAGGAAAGTGAGTTCGAAGAAGAAGACAATATACTTCCTAACTCGGATGACGAAATAACTTCATCTTTCATTATAAGCACCATCTCGAAAGACTTGCAACAAGAAACGCACCATGGTACCACAATGACTTCAATCAAAAATGCAAAATCACAGGGGGCATTAAGTCAAGGAAACCAAGAAGAAAATTGTTAAAGTGATGACGAGATAGTCCGTGCCCTCCTGTATAAGCTTGGATTGTTGTCTGATTTTTGCAAAGTTGAAGAATAATTAAAATTGAAGTGCTCCCCGATACAAGCATAAATTTTAGATGACACTCCTTGATATGAGTATAAACTGTTTATTTGAAAAAAGGACAAAAAAAAAAAAAAATCAAGAACTCCTTAATACGAGTTTAAACTATCTCCCAAAAAAAAAATTACACTCCTTGATACGAGTTTAAACTGTCTACCTGGAAAAAAAAAAATCAAGAACTCTTTGACACGAGTTAAAACTGTCTACCTGGAAAAAAAAATTAAGAACTCCTTGACACGAGTATAAACTGTCTACCTGAAAAAAAAATCAAGAACTCCTAGACACGAGTTTAAACTATCTCCAAAAAAAAAAAAAAAAAAAAAAAAAAAAAAAAAAAAAAAAAAAAAAAACTCCTTGACAAGTTTATAAACTTTTTCGAAAAAAAAAATTGAACTACATGATGACTTGATCCCTGTTCAAGGTACGTAGGCATCTTGGAGGCCTGTTCCAAGTCCAGTCCACCAAAAAAAAAAAAAAACCTCCTTAGAGTATGCAAAATGGCAAAGTGTGTTCATCACGAGATATCAAAAGGGTTAGTCTCAATTTGTCAATTTCACTTGCTGTCAAGATATTATTATCAATTATCATGCAATATCAAAAGCGCTCGTCGCCCCTGTCAACTTGGCACGCCACCAAATTGTAGCTGTAAAGAAAATTTTGGTCTGTCGCCAAATTGTAGCAACAAGAAATAAATTAGGCCCACCACCAAAGTGTAGCTGCAGACAATAATTTTGGTTCGTCACTAGAATTGCAGCTACAAAGGGAAATTTTATTCGTCAGCAAAATGTCATTACAAAGGAAAAAGATCTTTACCTTTTCGTTGAGCTGTCATTCAAGAAAAAAATTATGCTCACCATCGAGGTGTTGTTGAAAAAGATCTTTGGCTTTCCATTAAGTTGTCGTTTAAGAAAAAAATTATGTTTGAGATATTATTGAAAGGAAGAAGTTGTTTTGCATGTCCAATGAAGTTGAGAATTTAATGTCAACTCCAATGGATTCTTCATTAATCTAATCAATACCGAAGTTGGTGAAGTCGTAAGTGGCTTTGCATGTCCAATGAAGTTGAGAATTTAATATCAAGTCCAATAAATTCTTCATTAATCAGATTAAGACCAAAGTTGGTGAGTTCACATGTAGCCTTACTTGTCCAATGAGATGAACAATGTTCATTGTCAGGATTAGGCAATTGAATGCGTGTCCAAAGAGATGAACAATGCTCATTGTCAGGATCAGGCATTTGAATGGCATTGCGACCAAGAAGTGAGTTAGATACACTTAATGTGGTTCCTTGGCCTCTTCGACTACTTTCGCTCTCTAAGATAGTCATCTTTTGCTTTGTAAAACACTTGAATTCCACCATGATGGAATAACAAACAAAAATTTGAAGCTCGATCAGTGTTGTCTAAAAGGTGGGTTTCAATTTCTGCTACAGTTGACAAAATCAAGTTGGTATACCCAATCAAGCCCTTCAAAAACAAAATCCTTTAGAGAATCCTTAAAAACACTTGAATTCCACCATGATGGAACACCAAGCAAAAATTTGAAGCTCGATCGGTGTTGTCTAAAAGGTGGGTTTCAATTTCTGCTACAGTTGACAAAATCAAGTTGCTATAGCTAATCAAGCCCTTCAAAAACCAAAATCCTTTAGAGAATCCTTAAAAAAAAAAAAAAAAAAAAAAAAAAAAAAAAAAAAAAAAAAAAAAAAAAAAAAAAAAAAAATCCCCAAGTTAGAGGAACGTGAAAAAAAAAAAAAAAAAAAAAAAAAAAAAAAAAGCCGTGAAAAAAAAGAGCTTGAAAAAAAAAAGATAACTCATTCTTATGGAATCGAAGTTTATAGCACTTTACTCTGCTGGAGAAGAAGCTGAATGGTTGAAAAGCATATTGGAAGATATCCTAATATGGAACAAGCCAATATGACCCTTGACAATATATTGTGACAATATGGCTGCAATGCTTCGAGCTAACAGCGAGTGTTCCAATGGAAAATCTAGACTGGTGTGATTGAAGCACAATCATGTGAGAAAGATCCTTGCTAATGGAATTATTTCTACTCAGTATGTGAAGTCCAAATCAAATTTGGTAGGTCCATTGTCAAAGGGCTTGGGTAAGGACCAAGTGTCCGAGACATCGAAAGAGATTGGATTAAAGCCTGTAATTGAATAAGTTGTACTATTATGGGAACCCAACCTAGTGATATTTCTCCTGGGTTCAATGGGAAAACAAGTAACATAACAACTCGTGTGAGCACATCAATGTTCCTTTCCCTATGATGTGATGTGGTGCTCAATCCTGTAACCGAGGAGCTTGAGATTTAGATCTCTTAATGAATCTATAGATCGATTTTCGATTGGAGTGTACAGGATCTCTTCTGATAGATTCACCGACTAACCTTTGAGGAGGCTGAGACTTGTATCTCTTAATGAATTCTACAGATTGGATTTCCGATTGAGGTGTACACAATCACTCTTAATAGATTCACCGATTTATCTTGCAATGAGGAGGGTGAGATTAGATTCTCTTAATGAGTCCATAACCGGTATTCGGTTGGAGTGTGCAAGGTCACTCTTGATGGACACACCGATTTGAGTGTGGAAATAGGGCCGCTTCTATAGGATCCAGACATGTTTGATCCTTAACGACACTCAGAAGTATGGATTCCGGACACATGGCTGAAATGTGTCAAGCTTTAGTACTTTATCTCCGAATTGAAATGTGTGTGTAGTATTTCTTATTCATCAACGTGGTTCTTGGTTTAAGACATCGTTCACCAAGTTCCAAGGTGAAATCAAGGGTACTTACACTAGGTAATGGTTCAAGTCCAAAAGACACCATTATTGATGCACATGATTGTACGGATCAACAAAATGAATTTAAAACAAGTGGGGGATTGTTGGAGTTATGTTTCAAATTAATTTTTAGTAACTCCATATTTATGAAGACTTTAAGTCTTGGCTTTACTATATATTTATGAAGACATAAAGTATTTTTACAAACTCTAACTCAAAGGATCTTCACCTGATGCAATTAATCAACTATATTGATATATTATTTATGAGTAATTTTAAAGTATATTAAATAATTTATTTAATTGTGTCTTCTATATATGCTAGTATAAATAATAGGTTTTACGAAGCCAACAAAACACACTCTCTCGATACAAGTAAGAAAGAAAAAGAGATTTTATAAAAGTGTTTTCAAACTATTGAGTTTAAGTGTGTGAGTTTCATATTTTTTGTTAATCGGACGGAGATAAATACATAGGTTCATGAAGAACAAGTGCAACCTTCATGAATATACAGTTTTTATATCTGAGCTTAGTTGAATCCTGGAGATAGTGCTGCCATTTGTCTTCCGTTGCATGTGGGAGAGGTTTCAACCATCTTTAAGAAGCGGTTACGCGCCTCGAAGCCTCGATACTCACCGTTTTTAATATATTGGTTCCAACACCACTTGGAAAGTAAAAGAAAGGGGATGATTCCTACTCAACAATTTGATTAAAGTAACCATATTCGAATTAAACTTATACTGAGAGCAAAAAGTCCTCGATACTAGCATGGTTGATTGGTTGAAAGAAGGGAAAAATTAAAAAATAAAAGAAGAAAACATTGTGTTAAAGATGAATTCATATTGTCTGAGGACCAATAAGGTTAGAGATCTCAAGAGATCCTACTCCATGAGGAAATCTTGAACACTAGTAAAAATAAAGTAATCGTGTAAATTTTATGTTGGAAGTTCAAATGAATCAAATTTCCATTTGACAAATTTAATTAGAAAAACAATAAACCTCACAGTTTAGAAATACGGGTTGTAAAGTAAGACTCCTGTAACACAAATTTAAACAAGAATGGATATGCCTCTATCATGGGAGCAAAAACAAGAAGGCTTTGTTCATCACTTGCATTAATTCTCAACTCTAATCACTTAAAAAGCTAAGGAACAATAATTGGGTCTAAACAAGTAATGGATTACATAGGTCATATTCACAATTATGACACGGACATTAAAACCCTGAACCATAACATGACATGTTTAATTAAATAGGTTAATTGCGTCGACTCATTCACAACCCAAATCCAATTAAGATTAACTCAAACACGCTTCTCTTGTGTCATGTTGGCGAATCGTGTCGAACTTTGCCTACCTAATATAATGGAACCAAAATCATAGTCACAACTGCCCATCCGTTTAGTGGTATCTCCTACCTCCCAAAGTGCAAGGTGAGGATTCATATCGCCATAAGGGCAAGATGTGGTGTGAGTTTCTTGCCATAGAATTAAACAAATACTATTAAAAATATAAAATCTCCCTATATCAGATTGTAATTAATACTTCATTCTAAGCATTTTCCCAACATTCAACCATCCAAAATATAATACCAAATAAATTTATAAGATAAGGATTAATAAGCAAATAGCTTATACAAACATATAATTAAAGGATAACCAAATCTGCTCCTACAGGAAGTTTGGTTCCTAGCTTCTTGGCAAACTTTCTCGCTGCTTTTTCTCTCTTCGGCTGCGCGAACTCGGTGAACTCCCATGGGGTTCCTATCGCTAATGGATCACGAGGATCAAAAGTAATCTTCTCAAGTTTGATAGCACTTTTAATTAAATACATTGCAAGCTCAACATCATTTGTACGCCCAACAAATCCAATGAATTCCACCACCTTAAGATATTGATGGGTCCGAGAGGTAAACTTGTGGTGTTTTCTTTTTTGGCCAGCCTTCCTCCAATGCAGCTGAAACAAGGAGGAATGGAGTCATAACTAGACCATTAGCATACAAAACCAAATTATCAAATATCAAATCATAACAGTTCAAGTTAGAATCACGTCACTCCATGGAATAGCCACCACAGGCTCCATGGAGATCTAATATTAATAAATATAAAGGGGATACTCAAATATCTACCTTTTTACAAATTTTCTACTCTTCTGAAATATTCTCCAATATACCAATTTCTATAAATTCTTCCATGTTCTAAAATCCTCATCCCTCTACAAGCTATACTTATTATTTCTAGTCTTTTATATTATTGAAATGAAAATATAGCAAGAATAAGAAAATAAAAGGTATTATATCAGAATATATATGTATTCGTATGTACCACATTTTAATAAGCCAAAGTGTCCATTATTAATCACTAAAAACCTCCTGCTACTGCAGGGTCCTCGTGGAAAGTAAAAGAAAGAGGATGATTCCTACTCAACAATCTAATTAAAGTAACCATATTCGAATTAAACTTACAATGAGAGCAAAGAATCCTCGATACTAGCATGGTTGAAAGAGGAGGAAAAATTAAAAAAAGAAAACATTGTGTTTAGAGATGAATTCACATTGTTTTGAAGATCAATAAGGCTGTAAGGTTAGAGACCTCAATAGGTCCTACTCCAGGAGGAGATCTTGAACACTCATAAAAATAAAGCAATCTAAGAACGTGTAAAACTCTTAGGCAGTAAATATTAAATTAACATGGGAACATTCATTATTTACAAAATAAAAAATACTTGAACAAAGAGAATAGAGCAAGCTAAACATTGTAAGAGCATTTTCCCTATTAGTAGTAAAATTGTAATTTTGTAATTGCCATAAAAAAGTAATTACTAGAGAAAATTCAAAGTTTTTATGTTGAAGTCCAAATGAATCAAAATTTCCATTTGAAAATTCAATTACGAAAACAATAAACCACATGAAATGCAGGTTGTAAAGTACGACTTATTACCTTTAACACAAATTTAGACAAAAAAGGACATGCCTCTATCAGGGGAGCAAAAACAAGAAGGCTTTCATCATCACTTGCATTAACTCTCAACTCCAGTTGCTTGAGATTATTTAATATAGGAAATTGAGCAAACTTAATATCATGCTGAATAAACCAAAGAAAAAAAGAAAAAAATTATGTTAAAAAAATAAAAAACGATGGGGATGAGATAAAATGAATTAGTTAAAACTTACTAACCTCAAGGCTGATCAAATCCAGCGTAAGGCTCTCTAGCTGAGAAAGATAGCTCGAAATCTCCATAAAGTTATATATTAGATATATGGCATACAGACCCCCGATATACAAATCAACTGGCATCGGGACATTCTTAAATGGCAGGATTATTCTTGGTCCGAGATAGTGAAATGACATGAGATTCATTGCAGAAATCTCAATACTTTCCACATTGATGCAATAAGTTATTGCCAAGCGCTTCAATTTGAGTGACAGCTCAGGAACTTTCAGATTTACGAGACCAATAGAGTCGTGCACAAATAATTGTTCTAAAAATGGACAGTTAATTAAAAAGTACTCGAGAACTTGTCCAGTTACATTCACGTAATTCAGCTGGAGATTGGTCAGGAAATTGCAGCTAGTAAACCCATGAGGGTGATTTGTAATACGATAAATGTAATCCCCTTCCTTTCTAGTATACCGGTAAGTGTCTAAAAAGTCTAAATCAAGACTTTTAACTCTCTTTTCCAATGCAAAGTTAATCCAATTGTCAATATCAAATCTACAAGTTTCATCAAGATCAAATTGAACTCTAAATTCATCCAAACTTGGACCATTGTACGTTTTTAAGACTTGATTTACCCAACTCAAGTACGAAGGCCTTTCTTCTTCAAGTTGCTTATCACCCACTCTAATTCCATCTATTATATGTGCGGCATCAAAGTTCAAAGCAGTAATGTGTGTCCACATATACCTCCATCTCTTTGAAAGCACACTAGTTCTTCCAGCTTCTTTCATTGTCAATAGTGACAAGATTGAAACAAGGACAACATCAGGAAGTTCACTAATGCGATCCTCCAAACACGTCCCTCCTTTACCAGCCTTCTCACTATTCCAATTAAGGGTTAAAAAAAAAACAATAAAAATAATTAAGAAAGTCTGATAACAGAAACACTACAGCAGTGCCGAATTTTTGTAACAAAATTTCTTCATTTAAAAATTAAATAAATAAAGACGTTCAAATCATACATAAGTGAAAAGATAGAGTAAATTTTTTTACCATATTGAGGTGGTTTTCTCCATGGGTTTTGATTTTACAATTTTCTGCAGGAGAAGATGAACATATTAGAGATATCCACCCTAGCAGCTTGCTTTAATCCACAGAGACAAAAAGAGAGCAAGAAAAACAGAGCAATTTGGATTATATACGTACAAAAGGAAAGATGTTAAATTGGATTTGTACGAAATAGGTTTTTATTTTTAATTTTTTCCAATTTTACTAGGATTAAAATTAGGATTAGGCAACTAAGTCTCTGCTTCAACCCAATATGAGAGCTGATTCCTTTACAAAAATATAAATTAAATAACTTATTTCTCACGATAATTTCCCAAACTAATAGCTACTATTTTTGCCCAATAAACAATTATATTAATTTCAATAAAAACAAAATAAGTGTCCAAAAAATACCTGTATCAGAACAATGATTTGAATGCCCTTAAAATTTTAAAAAAATTCAAACTTGATTTTATACATATATATACACACACACACACATATGAAAGGGAAACTTACTAATTTTAGAAGGGTTTATTGCAGGTTCCCAAATAGGCAAAGAATAATTACTTAGAGAATTCACAGGCCGGATAGAAAAGATATAACTCAGGTTGTAAATTTGGAGAATACTTTTTCTTCAAAAGACTCAAACATGGCAGAATTTCAAAAAGTATAATGACATATTTTGGTTAAAATTTATAAAAACAATTCTAAAAAATAAATATATAAACTGTTAGTTTTGAAGAAATCGCCATCATCTCTTTTCATGAAATACGATTGACAAAAAAAAAAAAATAATAATAATAATAATAAATCATGATAAAAAATAAAACCTGACAAGATTTCGATCTACTGCAGTGCTTGACTTTATGATCCGTTGGAAAGAGACTTGTTTCGAGTCGTGCGGTAGATCTGAAGAGCACATGCCACTCTGAGCATCTGCACTTGTAGGGGTTTACTTTATCTTTTTAGGAAACCAACGGATTGTCAACTCTTCGGGGGACTAGGAAACCAACGGTTGAGATGGATTGAAATTTAATAATGGCTGATATGAAACTTGTATTCATATTCGGACGATGGACTAAACTTATATTCATATTGGTCTTCCTGGGCTAAACTCGTATTCATATTGGTCCTCTTTTGTGTATATATAGACAAATGAGAAGCCACACTTGCATTTGCTCATGTAGACATAGAATACGGGCTCAATGGCTGATTCATTTGAATCGGTCACACTGGGTGGTGTGTGGAAAGGTGCGTTTGGTCTTATTGTCTTTTTAAAAAATAAAAATAAATATGTAAATACTAAAATGTAAAAAATTGGGTCCTTTCAAGTAGATCTAGAAATAATTAGAGCCTCTCTTGTTTTTTGAATCATATGTGCATGTAACCTCATAGGTCAATTCTTTGGGTGTCCCATTTTATCTCAAGCAGCAAGACTAAAGCAACATCCATTTAAGCGTGTGATATCTAAAGACATCGCTCACAAGCCCTTCAATCACCAGAACTTCAGCCATGGAGATCTAGGAATGATGGATTTTCGTACAGAATCTAATGCCTAAATTAGATGGTGTTGATAAACTACAGTTCATTATTTGCAAATAGATGCACATTAAATGACTAATAAAGTACTACTTCCAAGAGAGAGTTGACTTAGTGAATAGAGTTCATTGCCAACTTACTATACAAATGAGAAGCCAGACTGCCTTTGCTCATGTAGACATAGATAAACAGGCTCTTCTCTGCGCAATATCCGACCAAATTCACGAGCCTCAACCGAAGATGAAGACAAGTAGAGAGCTTTAACGACCCAACCGGAAAAGCTTTACCGTCCATCCATGGAAATCGGTGAAGATCAGAGCTACACCGACCACACCGGCGAGAGCTCAACTTCGAATCTATGCTCCTCTTGGTGACAAAACGAAGACCCAACTAATGAACTTCAGCAATTAATCAATCGGCCAAGACCGTAGAGCAAGCAACTCTGGCAACAATGAACACCGGTGAAAGCTCCTGGTTCGTTTTATGCTAATACAGCGCATAAGCTTCATCCGGCGAGAAACACTGCGTATTAGCTTTATCACTGTGCGCCATCCGAAAACCAACCAAGATCAGGAAGCTTCAAGCCTTCAACGTCGTCACGCTCACGACCCAACTGGAGAAGCGTACAGAATTTCAGTGACCCAACAGTCCGGCGATCTGCCATGTGTTTGTGGAAGAACCGATCGATTGCGCCGGCGAGGTCGGAAGATTGGGTTTGGTTTGGCAGATCGACGAATGTGGTTTTGAGGAGAGAGAAAGGGGTGGGGCTTAGGGTTCCAAGAATTTGGCAGATCGACGAACAACATTAGATATTTCTATGTGATTTCTACTTAAGAAATTTGGCAGATCGATCGCTGATACGTGGATAAAGAAATATTGTTAGGTAATTCTATATAATTTTTACTTAAAGAAATATGTAAGAAAATTGTTAGTACCTTTAATATATTATATAATAAAAAAATACTGGCTAATAAGCCAACAACATTATATTATTTTAACTGTCTTCCTTCTAAATAATTCTTTTTATTTATGAGGAAGTCTTTTACTACTTGGTTATCAGTACGGATAATAAAATCTTCTAGTGCAAGATAGATATGAAATTTCTTTATTATTAATTTAACGACCAGAAGTTCTTTTTCATAAATAATATAAATCTTTTCGTTTGGTTTAAACTTGCCAGAATTATATCCATAAATCAATTCTTCTTTTTGAAGCTTTTTTGGAATATGAGTTTTTCGGGCTTTTATCTGGTGATTTGTGAAAATAGTTTCATTCCACTTGTCTTGTGGAATACCTTTTAAAACACATCCCCAACATAAATCTGAGGCGTCAGTTTCGAGAATAAGTTTATCTCCTATTTATGGAAAATAAACTTCAGGGATGTTCACAAGATCTCGTTTGATCTGTGGAACGATTTTCTTGTCGTCATCGATCCATTCAAAAACTTTATCTTTTTGCAACTTCTTTATTAAAGGAATTTCTTTTTAAGACAAACCTTTAATAAAAGTGCAACCATAATTCAAGATACCGAGAAAACTTTGAAGTTGTTTTTTATCTTGAATATCATCAGAAAATCATGAATTTTAATAATGATTTGATCATGTAGTTTTATCCCTTTTTGGGTTAAAACTAAACCTAAGAAATCAATAGACTCTTGTTCAACTTCTATTTTGTTTGGAGACAAAATAATTCCATGTTTTTGGAGTTTAGCGGATAGAAGTTGTAAATGTTTTTTATCATCTTCTCTTATTTTAGAGAAGACCAAAATATCATCGATGTAAATAACAACAAAATCTTTAAGGTCATTAAAAATCTTGTCTATCCATCATTGATATATCTGAGGTGCAGTATTGAGACCGAATGACATTACAGTCCACTAATAATGACCTCGTGGTGTGCTGAAAGCAGTTAATGGCTTTGATTTTTTTCTTAATTTTATTTGCCAAAAACTTGCTTTGCAATCAAACTTGCTAAAGATTTTTGCTCCGTGAGTTTGATTAATTAGAACATCTTTTCGAAGAAAAAAATAACCATCGAAAATCAAATGTTTATTAAGCCACTTATAGTTGATTACCATACGGGCTTTTCCTCTTTTGACCTCACTATGGTTTCTTACCATAAAAATAGGGCTACTATGAGGACTTTTAGTACATTCAATGAGCTTCTTTTCTAGAAGATCTTGAAGTTGATCATCAAACTCATCTATATCTTTTTTTAGATATATCATAGGTTTTACTCGGATGATGATATTGGAATCCCCAACATAAATCTGAGGCATCAGTTTCAAGAATAAGTTTATGGATTCCGATATCATCATCCGAGTACAACCCATGATCTATCTAAAAAAAGATATAGATGAGTTTGATGATTAGCTTCAAGATCTTCTAGAAAAAAAGCTTATTGAAGGTACTAAAAGTCCTCATAGTAGCCCTGCTTTTATGGTAAGAAACCATAGTTAGGTCAAAAGAGGAAAAGCCCGTATGGTAATCAACTATAAGCGGCTTAACGAACATTTGATTTTTGATGGTTATTTTATTCCTCGAAAAAATGTTCTAATTAATTAAACTCGTGGAGCAAAAATCTTTTGCAAGTTTAATTGCAAAGTAGATTTTTGGCAAATGATATTATAACTTTAAACAATACATTATCCATTATGGACTAAACAAAAAAAAAAAAAAACAAATAAATAAATTAAATTTTTTTAAAAAATTAAATTTTAAGCGAAAAAAACAAAAAAATAAAAGGTTTTCTAATTTATTTTTGGTTTTTTCCAAAAAGAAAAAAAACTTACAGCCAAACAGTGCCATAAGGCACTGTTAAAGAAAAAAGCTCCCCCAAAAACGACGACATTTTTGCAGCGAAAAAAAAAAAAAAAATTACAACAATCGTGCTTGGGTTGTGAGGTAGCCCTCGAGCCCTTGTGGGCCCACTCATTTTTTGCGAGATTGGTGCAGCACTTCTGAGCCATTTGGCTGGATACTCTAAGCAACTGTCTATTGCATAGCTGCTCAATACTCCAACCAACCCTTAAAAAATTTTAAAAAATAAAAATAAGAATAAGAATAAAAAGCCTTTAGACTCATTTATCATCTTTCTATTGAACTTTGACTTCCATATAATAAAAAAAGTAGTAAATATAAATAGAAAGTTAAGGGTATATTGTCTAGATGGAAAGTTAAAGGGGTAAAAATTATTATTATTATTATTATTATTATTTGGACGTATCATGCCATATCTAGTTTTGTTATAGGTATGGTTAACTTTTTTCTGTTTCCTTAAAAAGGGGGTAGGAGTATTAGTAAAAAAATAGCCTTTAATGCTATGAAAGCTTTGTAACTAGGGATGCCAATGGGGCGAGTTCGGGTAGGTTTCTTATTCCCTATCTCGGTCCCCGTTTAAATATGGCACCCCCAAAACTGCCCCATAACCGATTATTTTTTTACCCGTAATCCTCATAACCGCCCCCGCCCCATCTCTGCTTGCCCCGTCCCCACTCCGCCCCACCACTGCCCCGCCCCCTATTAAATTTGACAATTTTTTTCATTTTTTATTGCTACAAAATCAAACTGTGAAAGATAATCAAAGTAAAAACTAGATGATCAAATCAAACTATGAAAACAAAACCTAATTGTGAAAAGATAGAACTTATTACTTCAATATATATATATATATATATATATATATATATATATATATATATATAAAATTAGGGTTTTAACAATGATAGGAGATATGTGGCCGGAAAAGAAGAGAGATGATATGGTGAAGGACTAAAGGAGCATGATGGTGAGGGACTGAGAAGTACCAATTCACTTCATCGCTCGGCTAAGGTTGTGGAGATCTCTAGCTGGAGAAGAAAAGAGAGAAGATCTGAAGATGGTGAAGGAATTCACTTCATCGTTCAGCTAAGGCTTTGGAGATTTGTGACCAGAGAAGAAAAGAGAAAACCTGATGATGGTGAAGGTCTAAAGGAGGCCGTAAGACGTTTCTTTTGTCGCGCCACTCACTGTGATGACCCTGTGGGCGGGTGTGCTAGGGGCGGGTGCGAGACACTGTCAGGCTACCACACTGGCGAGTTATGGGTGCACAATCTCACATTGCCTGGGTAAAGGAAATGTGAAGTGCTTATATGTAGGTGTGTCACTTCAATTGGTATGAGGCCTTTTGGTAAAACCCAAGAACAAAATCGTGCAGGTTTAGGCCCAAAGCGGACAATATCATACCAAGTGGTGGAGTGGGTTGTTACAAATGGTATAAGAGCCTGACCCAGCTGGAAGTGTGCCGACGTGGACTTCGGGCCTCCAAGGGGGGTGGATTGTGATGACCCTGTGGGCGGGTGTGCCGTGGGCTGGTGTGAGACACTATCAGGCTACCACACTGGCGAGCTACGGGTGCACAATCTCACATCGCCCGAGTAAAAGAATGTGAAGTGCTTATATGTAGGTATGTCACTCCAATTAGTAGAGGCATTTTGGGTAAAGCCCAAGAACAAAATCGTGCGGGCTCAGGCCTAAAGTGGACAATATCATACCAAGTGGTGGAGTGGATCGTTACACTCACAACTTCGCTCTTACTTTTCATGCTCTTATCTCTCGGCTACTGCTTTAGAAGATAGGAATGAGTAGGGTTTATTTAGAATTGTATATATAATATGTTAAATTGGTAAGTATAATATAGATCTATATAATATTCATTATATAGATCTATATAATATTCATTACATATAAAGTTAATGTAATAGTTGTATATCTTCTAGATAGAAAGCTACGACCACCCACCACTGAAAATATAAATAGAAAGTTACTAACCCCAAAAATAATTTTTTTGTAGACTTAATTTATGGTCCAAAAATTCATAATAGAATTTATTTTGGCCTTTCAAAATATTTATTAGCCCAAATCAAAAAGTATATATATGACTTCATTTGCATATAGATCAATATAATATTCATTATATGAATTTAAGAGAGAAAAAAAAAATTATACAAATGTACCTCATGTCTAATAAAAATGAATCAATGAAGACCAAAAAGTATAAATGGAAAGAGTACACCAAACAAGAGATAGAAGATCTCTTATTACTATATATATTACTAAAGGGGCGCAAATCCTCTACTGTGAGAATCCTATGCGGTCCCCTGTAGTGACTTTTAAGTGGCCTATATTTTGCCACATCATTCTTCATTTAATAGCTCTTGAGGTAGCGTTTGGGTGCACCAATTACAAAAAATTAAAAACCTTCTTCACCACCATTTAAAAGTATCTTCACCCTCAAAATAAGGTATGCATATAATGCAGACTAAGTAATGTCACATACAAAATTAACTCAATTCAACATACTGTATTTGACAATTACACTAACATTTATAAGTACATTTCACCACCATTTATAAGTATGTTCACTCTCAAATTAAGGTATGCACATAAATGATGATGTTACTTTTAGACTCATGTGATGTTACTTTTTAGACTCATGTGATGTTATTTATAAATTGTGGTGAAATGTTACTTATAAATGGTGGTGTAATTATCAAATACGATCTCAATTGTCAAATAGTGGTGACTGACGTGGCCAAATATAAATCATATAGAAACTCATTGCAGGAGAACGCATGAGAATCCAGGATTTGTGCCCTATGATTTGTCGGTAGGAAAGAACCATGCG